AGGGGATGAAAAAGTGTATGAATCCTAACATGTACATACTTATTTGATACGTCTCTCAATGGAACTCTAGTCATAAAGTTCACTAAGGTAAGAAGTTAGTTGAAATAACCTATACATATATATATATCCATATGAACTGTGATCAAGATTTGACCGAATAGTTCGAAAATAATTGGGTGCCGAGTGAGAAGTAAACATATGTAAAACATAATATTTGTAAAATCTCAGCGAAATTTAAATGAGTAATTCCAACGTTTCGTTCGGCAATCTGGTCCGAACTTCTTCAGGGGAATTAGTCGAAATTAACATAACAAAGGTTTATATATAAAAAGGACATCCTTTGGTTTTTATAACTTTGTCCAATCATATGACTCATGAAACAGGTATCAACATGTACAATAAAAAAAATTGTATGAGCTGTGATCAAAATTTGACCTCAGACTTCTTACAAATATTAGTCTACTTTTGTAAAACACTTTAAACAGAGTGTACTTCTCATGAGAATTTTAGTGATTACGTTCGACTAAACGTTCATGGTCGTAGATAACTGAATATGAAAATATATGTGTATATGCGGCATACAATTGTGTGTGCATGTGTGGGTGTGGGTGAACACCTGTAAAACATTTGTTAGCCTCTCCATAACAGGATATAGGCAATCAGGAATTTAGACCAAGTATGATTAATTAGTGATACATATCCATTTTTTATTTATTAATCAGGATTTGCCATGCATCAGCTAACATCACACCTTCACGTCAGTTCAAACTGTTCGGATTCACCCATATATGTAGGACTTATGAAGTCAGTCTTTCTTTATACAAACCAAAACCCCTCTGTAAAACCTTAGTCCAATCAAAGTCGATTTTGTGTCCCGTTTCTATCTAATTCAATGCAATCACTGATCTGTTTTCTAGCTTCTTTAAGTCTGTAGAGGTCTTTGGAACCACCTTTAGATATTGTTTATGCTCCTTCACTCTTATATTTATCTCTCTGGAAGTTTCTCCTACATATATGGCCTCACAGTCCCCACAGTTGATCTGGCACACACAATCCGTTTAGTGCTGTCTTCCTAGAATTATCCAACTTTTCCAACGTAGTATTATATTTGAGTAAATAAAATTATGATTAAATTTATTACAAGGAACTCAGCATAAATGAACGAGATAATAAATAGTCAGAGTCGTATATATTAAGAAACTAGAAAGTGCTTCAATAATGAAAGCAGCCTAGGAGAAGCCATAAACCAGTTCAACCAGAAAATCAATTATTGTTATTATGAAATTATGAAATGAAAACGGAATAAACTTCTGAAAAAGACAGCTAATGAAGCCCGATAAGTAGGAAGCTGAGCTGGTTTCATTCTATCTTGTCTTAGTATTTGTTAGAAAAATTACAAATTAGGTATACCAGTAAAACCGATTGTTTAGCTTTCATGAATACATACTTTCTGTCTACCCAAACACATGAGCAATACGATTACTAGAGAAGAATAACTATGTCATGTTAAGTGTGGATGAAATGATGTTTTCAATATGTTATTAAGTTAATCTAGACATCAGGAGACCAAGATTCAGCCTAAGAAACAAATCTTCCTTTGTTTGTTTATTATGGATAACCGTCAACCTTTAGAGAGACACCGATTCAAGAATTGAGCAAATTCATTTACATTTTTAGACCAAGATTCATGAATAGTTTCAAGAAGGAGTAACACAATATTATTGACTTCGGGGGTAGTAGTTGAGGCGATTACAACAAAACTGATTAAAAATGACTGTTAAAATATTCAAAAGAATGGTTACTGAACAAAGAATACTCTTTTCGATAACTTCATCCTCAGGTTCTACAGTTATATAAACATTATAGTTATTGAATTAATGTAATTAACAACATTATTGTTTAAATAACACCGAATCAGTAATAATATCAGTAGATTACAGTTCAATAGCATCAACATAACAATAAGCTGAATGTCAGAAAAATTAGGAAAGATAATAATACAAATTCATGAATTCATAGTCTCTACTGAAGGCCAGGGTAGTAGAAGTGGCTGAACTTGCTTCTTTTGCACACAAAGCACTGGTTGTTTCACGCGAATTGAGATAGCCTCTGCTGTTTGGAGAATGTAATACCTGGATGTTTTTGGTAGTTTGTTTCGTACCCGATAGATGACAGAGAAGGACTCTTCAATATTGGCTTAGTGGCCGATTTGGACCAGGTGGTCTAATATCGAACTGTTAATGGTTTTTACTACACCTTTACTTAGCCATACTGGGAGATATTCTCGAGCACGAAAAATCAAGTTCCTGGAACAACGGCCAATATAAGTCGCTCCACAAGCGTAGTTGAAATAGATTGGAATTGGCTAGTATAGGTACTTCATCTTTCAATTTAGGAATCACCACCAGTCGTGTAGAAAATAAGACTTGTAGTTTGCCAGCATTAGAAGTTCTCAGAACTGATTTTCCTAACTTCTCCGTAATTATTTCGTTAGGTATAATACCCTTGAATTGCAATCGTATGCTTTTTTTAAAAATTTCATTCCTTTGTATTCCGAGTAGAATATTGGGCTTCAGTAAATCACTGCGTGGTTGAGCTGGGTTTACTAGCCTTATGAACCTACTATAAGCGAAACTATGTGGTTTAGCAGCGCGTCAGCAGGGAATCGAACCCTGACTATTTTCATGGTTGACAAGAATTCTAACATTAACCCCCCACAGTGTGTTTTGGTATCCCTAAAACGACACGAATATAAAATACTCACACTATGAAAAATAATATCCATACAAAAATAAAGCAAATTACAGATGAATAAAATAACAATTAGCATAAATATTAGAATATTCCGTTTACTAGAGTCAGTAGTAGATACTTCCAAAATATAAGACAATCGCTTACTGAACTACAACAGTAACTATCCAGTTGCACATCAGAAAGCGTTTCTAAAAACCTTATTTTGAAATGGTGGAGGAAATGTGTTTTGAAAAATGTTCTCTCAGTTCTAACCAACTATCTATTCCAAAACTTTAACTGTTTTCATGGGTTAACATTAAATACGGAAGCATAAAATACTAAAAATATCTAATTAACAATGTGGTTTTACTTTATGACACTTAACTAGTGGCTGATGTAGTAAGAATTTTATCTTTCATCCAATGGTTCATATTTTTTAGTATTTAATAGTTCAGGAAACAACATAACTTTCACCTCGTTAGACTGATGAATAACAACGTATATCATGACCCACTTGACTTCCATAAGGCAATATAAATTATCTCCAATAAAAAGTTCTGGATTCGAGTTTAGAAGTGATTAGCTATTTACAGTTTGTTTTTCGAGTTTGACTACGGATTGATATCAGTTAGAGAACCATTGGAAACCAGGGAGTACTTGACAGCTGTTTCACCCTAGTTTGGGAATCATCGGTGGTACACACCCACCGCCAGGGTTCGAACCCAGGACCTTCCGGTTACAAGAAAAGTTCGTATACCATTCAGCGACCGGCACCTTACTCAATGGTCAGCCCATGAATTCTAACTTTCACCAATTAGTGATTTTAACGCGACCACCAATCAGTATAATCTGCTGGAAATCTATCCTCACTCCCAACTGGATGGATGGGATGAAACAGCTGTCCAGTACTTCCTGCTTGTTTTCAATGGCTCTCTAACTAATATCAGTCCGTGGGCAAACTCGAAAAACAAATTTAATCCTTTCAAACCAACTCTTGAATATTTACAGTTTCTTTTTTAATTTAAGAGGTAAGAGAATTGCCGGTGTTCTTGATTACAAGCGCCAACATTGTCATCTACTTTATCATAAGTGAATATTGAATATGATAAACTTTCTGAGGAGAGGATTTCAAGGTTGCACTGGCTTGAATCTCTTTACTTTCTTATTCTCATCCTTATCATATTAATAGTAAAAATCTTACAACACTCGTTCAAACTCGATTGCTTCTTCACCCGTCTTCTGTATTCCTCATCGATACTTTTTATTTTTATCTACAGAAACTCTACTGGTAGAATGTTGACTTCCATTATTTCTATGGCCATCACAGAATTAAGTAACACGCATCAAATTAATATAATTATTCGCGGTAAGCAAATCACTGGTAACCTATTGACTGACTAATTTATTACATCTTGATTTACATTTCATGTTGCTTTACAGTAATTACGGTGGCCTATTTAAAGAGTATCCCATGTTATTTATGATTTGTATAAGTGAATCTTAAAATCAGTATTCCCTATCATGGACTGTTAGAAAAGACACGAAAAGTCAGTCAGTATGAGGCTGTTGGTCAAGATTTCATACCTGATGGTATTCACCAGGAAAACTCATTGCCAGTTTTAAGGAGATTCTTATTTTTCCTGAGATGTGAACTGTAAGAATGATTGTCGAAATTGAAAGTTTGAGTTACTAGGTCCACAAATAACTACCAAGAATGTCCGATCATTCATGCGAATACGTCATTAGACTTTAGTCAATAAATTAGTCTAGTCCACAGTATGTTAGTTAGAATCTCACGAAAACTTATGCTAGAGATAGCGACCTTCCAATGCATTACAAATAAAAACGGGATAATTCAGTATCAGCAAACAAAATCGCGCTAAATTATACTATTTTAAATGCATAAAATACTTTAGAATGCAAGATAAAGTTCACAAGATCACAAGTTTCACTTTAAAATAAATTCCTTGAAAGATAACACATCTAAATAAATTAAACTGTTTAGCTGAATAAAAGTTAAAGTCAAAGAATCTTAATAGTAGGATGAAGGTATTGGAGTATGACTTTTCAGACTGACACGATCTCATTGTAATAAATATATTATGAGAGTATATTCCCTGTATTTTCAGCAGTTTGATTATGACGCTGAGACTCTAGAAATGACACAGTGATTTCCATGCCTCTTTTATTCAATGTTGCGTGATTTTTATCCCATCTGAAATAATTTGACGGGAAGTTAGATTCAGGAATTAGTTTCTAATTTGACTACAATGCATTTAATCTACATATATAATTATGTATGCTTGTAATAATATATTGTTCATGGAAGGTGTTGTAACTGAAGAGTATCTGTTTAGGAGTAAAGTGTGTAATTTTCTCTACTGATAGGACAGATTAATTAGTTGGTAGGGCTATAGCTGGAATGTAAAAGTTATTCGATGAACGATGATTTGACGGGATAGAATTAAATATATTTTGGTCTGTGCTGTATACATTTTGTTTAGGACCACAACGGTTGGCTGAAATGGAATTTTGGGAATACACAGACATATTTATATCTTCGACAATTCCGATCTCTCCACTGTTGATAGATATAGGAGTAATATTGGCACTGTTGTTGCTTTCGCTGTTGTAGTTACTAGCGCCAATCGACGTGACTACACTTTTGATGACGTTTGAATTTCTTTCATTGTTATTTCTTTCAGGATGATCACATTGATGTGGGATTGTGTCTGTTAACGGCATACAGTGTCCATCTGTGAACAACCGAAGAAAACAGAAGAGAGAAGAAGGATACCATGTAAATTTCCTCTAATAAATATTATGAAATATATAGATTCAGAGTGAAAAATCCAATAACCGTTCACGTCTTACATTTAATTACCTTATTAATGAGTTATTAATTAACAGATAAAAATATCCACCATTTTATCAATTTGGTTTTTAAAATTGATGGTGTATAAGTGTCCAGCTTTTAACAGATATGGTATTTTGGCGCAAGCTAGAATACAACTGTCCGTCTGCACATTGAATTAAACTGTAATACAAAATTTTCATAAAAGGAAATTAACTCAAACTGACTCTATTAAACTTATAAATAAGTTCATTATGTGCATAGCACTGTCATAGTGCGTCGGCTGTTCAATGTTAGGATGCTTGTCAATGACGTAGGCGGCCTGGGGTTCGAGTAATGATCGATGCACCCCTAAGCCTCGCCTAGTTTACTATTCGGCAGTAAGTTTGGTAAAGAGAAAAGTTTGAGTGTGAGGCTAGCGACCGCACTCCGTACAAACAACACCAACACTACTGAAACTTCAAGGTCTCACACTTGAAACCCGATGTTCCCTTTGGGATGCAAAGGAATAGCAAAAGGCAGTGTCATAATTAACTGGTGACGAAAAATGCTTATGCAAAAAGTGGATTCTGTTTAGGCACAAAATAATCAATATACACACTACTCCTAGGATATTTTGATCAAGAGCAGCGCTTTAGTCATTAGCCATATTAGGTGTGAGTTATTCTTAGGTGCCATGAAATAACTACTTAATTAATAATTGACAAGTTAAATTATGTTTAGAGTAAGTAAGCTTTCAACGAAGTCAACGAAACATTCGGCAAAGTATATCTTCAATGGAGCACCTGATTAGAAGGTGAAAAAAATATATAATATAGGGGCTTGAATAGATGTGCTTTTTTTCTAAAAGGTATTTATAATTTATTAGATATTCAAATGAAAATTATTGAAAGCTGGAATTATGCATACTGAAATCGAGCTGAATATTTTATGCTACTTAGTTGTCAGATTTAACTTAGTTTAGAGCAATAGTTGTATGATACCCAAACCAAGTGTGTTATCTTTTACCAGTTCCATTTCTAACTCTTTTGTAACTTGCTTGTACCTATAATTTTCCGCTGGTAGTTCTATTCTGCCGAATAAATTTATCTTCATTGGCATATTAACTGGTTCGATCAATGTGTCGATACTGATCTGAATTCCAGCATGATGTCTTCAGTCTGACAGTGATTAGAAATGAACTAGTCAGTCAAATGTACTTGTCAAAATGAATGATATTGCAAATGAAAGTAAACAAGTCGAAACAAACGGCTTGGAACTCAGAGAAGTATTAAGGCACGGATTCATGAAGTTCATTTGTCATTATGAACTAACTGATTTGGTAGAGTGAGACGAACAACGACAATTATACTTTTGAATTAGAGATAAGCATCTGAAATATTCCCATATAAATTAGAAGTTTAAGTAAATTAAGTAAATTCTTTTCAGTAAGTTATCATCAGTGTTTTATAACTACAAAATAAAATATTTGTTGCGATTACAATAATAGTGGCAGATATATTTTAACGTAAAGCATGATTATCAATCTGAAGTCTGATTAATTCCAAGTTGTAGGGTGACGAGATGAATAGTATTCGCGTAACAAACATGGTGAGTTGAACGCGGTTTTAGAACAGTGTGAACTGAATAAACATAATGTGACTTTTAGATAAAAGCGTAGTCCTTGTGGATCAATCGTCTGCTGAGTAACATTTCTGTGTAAATGATGGTGAACAGTAGTTCTGAGTACCAGTGATAATATTATCACTCCCTGGAATGCAAAGATATCCAGTAAATAAATTTTAAACAGAACGAGGTACCTGTCCATGTTTCCATTGTCAGTTACCGCTGAACACGTAACGTCCTTATTCTTTTGTTTCCGCATTTCTGTTTAAATTTATTATTACCAAACAGAGGGTGCGTATGAATTATAACTTATCAGAATCCTTTAACCTTCTGTAAACTCCTCTTCCAAGTCCTCCATATCAATTTTTATTTAAACCAGTTTAATGAAATTCTAGTAGCCTTCCTCGCCATAACCTGAGTTTTTATGGTTCTGTTATCTGAACCAGAGAGGAAGCTTACATTTTGACAAAACCTACTATTCAAGTGTTGGTTTGTAGGGATTTGATTGGTTACAGGATTTTCTCCATGAGCTGACATTAGTTAGAGAACCGTTGGAAAACCTGGGAGTAATGGATAGGACAAAAACCAGGAGAGAAGGTCCTGGGTTCGTATCCCGGTGGGCGCGTACTGCTGAAGAGTCCCAAACTAGGGCGAAACAGCTGTCCAGTACTCCCAGGTTTTCCAGTGGTTCTCTAATAATGTCAGCTCATGATGACACCTACTATATTTAAGTAGATAGACAGTTAAAAGACACCGCATTTCACTTCATTTTATTTTTTCGTAAGAAGTTGTAGAATGTCTTCTCCTGATCATAAATTATCAGTCAGCTGTTTAGTGTTAATAGAATAATTTCAATATCACAAGAAATATTTAATGGTAAGCTGTTCTAGCTGGTCTTCCGTTTTTGATGGCTGCTTGTAGCAGAATTCAGGATGTGATTTTTGTCTTGATTTTGACTTGTCAGCTGGATATTCTCGCTAGAACTTGAAGCCAGCACCTGTCCATTCAAATATCATATGAGTAAAAATTGTCTTGATTGCTTTAAACATGATTGGTCATCATTGTGTAAATTTCGTATCTCAGGTTCCACAAAGCAAACGATACATTGCAAAAAGTAACGTCTTCGCTGGAATTGAAAACCAAGATAAATCTCGAACTGTTGGTTGAAACTTAGTTTACAAGACTGACACCTGTGGTAGAAGTTTTATATCCGGAGAGGATAACAATGTTGGAGGCTTAATTTCACTCGTCCAGTGCACCGTAAATCAGAAACTGCAATAAGACGTTGAATTAAAAACCCTTCATAATTTTCACTTAGTTCACTTGGATGCTGAGAATGCAAATAGCATATATTACATCGAATAACTGACATGATTCTCCCACATAATGAGGCCTTCTATGAATCACTGCCATCACTCATATAAATGAGTCAGTACTACCATGTTACCGACTATGAGTGTTTCCAGTACTTAACGCATGCTGTCAGTATTCGATGTTTGACTGTTGCAAAATCATGATTATTTTGTACTTCTGGTTTAGATATTTAAACACTGCCAAACGGTCATCTCGGTTAGCAGATCTCGCCGTCAAAAAGCTCGCCCTGTAACCAGAAGGTCCTGGGTTCGAACCCCTGTGGGTGCGTACTGATGAAGAGTCCCAAACTAGGACGAAACAGCTGTCCAGTACTCCCAGGTTTTCCAATGGTTCTCTAACCAATGTCAGCTCATGATGAAAATCTTGTAACCAATCAACCAAATCTCTACAAACCAATACTTGAAAAAGCCTTTAGTCAGAAGGTATGTAAGAAGCTGTATAAGACCGAAGCAATAATGAATTCTTTTAACATAATATCTGGACAAATTACTACAAAGTACAACTTACACGGTGCAGGAAAAGGAAATTTTCCAAACGGGTTTGTATTTGCCAGTAATTTGTTGACAATCATATCATTCTCCATAAAACTGTTCATATTTGAAAAGTGTAGCTCATTGCCATTCGTTATTAGGCTACTGTGATCAATGCAACTATTGGAATACAACCCATCTAACCTACAGCATTGGTTATCTGCAAAATGCTTTCCATTATTATTACCATCACAAATATTATTATTTTTAGTAATAGAATTGATTTCATTGAAAAAGTCAACTTTGTCTTTAGACTGTCTTTCATATAATTGGTCTGAATTTGTTGTATCACTATTATTAGTTAACAGATGTCTTTCTTTCATATTTACTGAAGGTATATTCTCCTTTGAATTGTCATAAAACTCTTCTGCACCAATGGGATCAGATAAACAACAAGCTAAACTACTTAGACTGATTGGATCATGTTGTCCGCCTAGATGACCACGACATTCTATCTTCTTTTTACGTGCTCTTGCATTTTGAAACCATACCTAAAATGGGATAAAATAACAAACGAAAAAATCTGATAAGATAGAAGAGACAGAAAATTTTCTCCAAATATTTACGGATGGCAAGAAAGTTTGTTACTAGCAAATTGAATTATTTAAGAAAGTAGACAAATTGATGTTTTTCAGCCGAAGAATAAAATAAAAGACAACGTAAAATATTCGCATTCATAAAATCTTAGCAGTTAAACGTATTTTTGTGTACTCAGCACAGAAATATATTTGTTGTATGGGGATTATGAGTATGTAGTAGATGCCTGAATTACATAACCTGTTGGCTGGGAAATAAAGTGCTCAACATTAAACTGGGCTGTGACAGATTGCCAGTGATGAATAATCCATATTTTATCAGGTCATTTGATGGGGGAGTGTTTTTATAGAAACTTCTAGCTTTGCAGCTTGGTGTCACTTGCTGTAGCGTCTCTTGTTTACTAACTATTCAGCAAATCATTTTTATAAATCAGTTTTTGTGGATTTTAAACAATAATTTGAAAATTCCCATTCAGTCATAGAAAAGAAAAGGCGTTCAGCAAAGAGTTACTCTTTTCGGCGATATCATTCTCAAGCTGTACAAACCGCAAATTTATAGTAATTTTTCTTGGCAACAAAAGGAATATTTCCAAAGATGTGTTAATGCAATTGTTAATTTTTGACAACAAATTACGTAATTTAGAAGGCGTTAATCGGTTAGAAACTAAAATAAAGTTACAAAAGTAGGTTGGGTGACGTAATCTAATTGCTAGGGTTCAATGAAAAATGAATGAGAGTCAAGTTAATAATCTGAGTAGAATTCACTTGAAAATAAACGAAAATGGAGTTAGCAACAGTCGTCATGAGGGTAGAGATTTAATAGAGGGTGGGGGTAGAAAATAATGCAATTAAGAAACAGACAAACAAAGAAGAAAGAGGTAAGACAAAATTACGTATTTGGTGTTGAGATAGATCAGGACCATTGTAGATTTAGTGACTGAAAAAACTTCTTTTGTATGCAGAGTTCAGGATTCAATATGTGAATTGCCATTGCTTCTGCAGTTTGAAGAAGTTTAATTCGTACTCTTTTGGCAAGATTCCCACGTATTGTGTAGATAACTGAGAAGTTGTTTTGTGGGTTTGCTTGGTGTCCGGATTCGATCAAGTGTTCTAGGATAGAGTTGTGGCGGGGGGATCTTCTTTCTCCTTTATAAAACCATGAAGGTAAGTGTTCGCTGATTCGTTTGGATAGCAAACGCTGGGTACGGCCGACATACCTAGCTCCACATGAGCAGGTGAATTGGTAGATGCACATTGATGAGGCCCCCAGTGGAAGCTTATCCTTCACGTTCGTGCGAATCATTGGTTTCGTAGAGAAAGTTAGTCTGAGTTCAGCTGCGAAGAAGGTTTTCTTCAGTGAACGGCACAGGCGGTTTCTCAGTATTTCTGCTGAAGAATCTCCGTTGAATTGTAGATTCAAATAGAGAAGTTTCCTGGGAGCAGTAAGCATAGACGGTTTTTGTGTTTTGGGCTTCATGGCTTTTGTGATGAAACGTTCCGGGTAACCGTTTTCAAGGAGGATTCTTTTCAGGGTCTTCAGCTCCTCTTCTATAGTTTCCGGACTGCAAATGTTGTGGATTCTGTGAGTCAGTGAGCGGATTAGATTTCGTTTTGTATATAGAGGCACCCAACTGTGAAAGCTGATGAGTTGTCCATTCCATGTCGGTTTTCTGTGAATGGATCTTTTGAGTGTCCCATCTTGTTCGCGTCTTGTTAGTTGCACATCCAGAACAACTTAGAATAAAATGATATGGAATATATATATATATATCAGACAAGACTACCTACTACCACCAGTGATATTTCTGATTGGGATGGACTTTAGAAGACCTTGACTTCGCTGGCAATTCTTTAAATGTCGGATAAACTCAACGATCTACAGGAAAAAAACAACAGGTTGGCAGAGGAGGCTGTAAGTGAAGACAGGACTTCAAATGAACATAGAGAAGATGGAGTTGATGAAGAAACCTAACCAGTAACAAGAAGTACTAATTACTACCAACGGAAGAAATTTTCTGGGGATCACCACTTCCACGTATCTAGGCAGCATCGTTTCAACTACAGGCGGCACGGATAAGGATTCCAATACTAGGACCCAAAAGATAATACAAACCTTAGCAATCTGAAATCATTATGGAGATTTGCTGCACTTAGAATAAGGGACAAGATTCAGTTCTCCAGCACTAATATCAAGTCATTTGGTGCTTATGAGTGGTTCAGAGATTTGGAGAGCCGAGAAAAGCATTTCCAACAGACAGTTTTAGGCTTTTATCAGCAGCTGCCTCCTCCCCATATTGAAGATCAAATGGCCTGAAAGGGTTAATAATAAGCATATCTGGTAACGAAGCAATTAACAACCTACTGCACAACATATATACAGAACGAAATAAGGATGGGTTGAACACACCCTGGGAGACTGCTGACTGACATAACACAACATGCCGTAGAGTGAAGCCCGAAAGGATAATGACGATATTTATATATATAAGTCAGAATCGGAAAAGCAAGATACGCCTTCATCAACCTGAAACCAGTTGGGAAATCTTCTGCACCGCACTCAGCCAGCATAAACAACAAGATTCGGATTTTAAATACAAATGTCAAGTCGGTCAGTTCTTCTATATGGGTAAGAAACTTGGCTAACGTGTCACGAAAAGGATTTCCAAAAGATTGCAGACTTTTATCAACAGCCACTTACTTCGCTGGCTGGCTGGCTGCTTACTGAAGGTCAAATGACAGGTGGAAGGAACTAGCTGCAATAAACTCTGGCAATGAACAAACCAACCAAGAGTCCATTGCTCAACAACTATGTAGGAGAGAATGGAGATCGATTGAGCACACGTTGAGGAGGCCATCGGATGGCATCGTGCGCAATGCAGGCCATTGCTCAAGTGAAATCTAAATGGGAAGCGACGAGTGGGTCATCCTAGGGAGTTGGAGGAGATAAGAGATTAGGTCAGTCCTGTGTTCAGCTGAAGAGGATGGCAGAGAATAGAAGAAAGTGGAGATGTGTTTTTGAAGCCCTATGTTGTTATACTCGGAACCCAAGGGAATAATAATTATACATATATATGCGTAATGATAGTTTTGTCACTTTAGTGTGTTATTTAAGTAATAAGCATACTTGCTCAAAAAGAATCACATTATTCTAAAGTGATGAACTTCCGTTTGATTTTTAGTTAGAATATGATCATATCTACTATGTAGTTTTAAACCTTTATGAAAAAAAACGGTGAAGCTTGATTTAATTTATATGAGACACAGCAATGTGAAAGTGACTGAAAGTACTTATTCATCACTCACTTGAGTAACACGTTTATTCAACTTTGCCATACTAGCAATACGTTCCAATTCTTGACCATCTGGATTAGCTTCAACATCAAAATTAGCCTGAAGTATGGCCAATTGGTCTGGTGTAAAACTTGTTCTTATACGTTTAGACTTTGAATGAACACTACAGTTGCTACTTGTACTACTGTCGACTGAATGTCCATTTTCTGCCAGTGCCAGTGATATGTCATTATTATTCAACAGGGCTTCTTCACTTATCATAGATCCATCAAGGGAATACCAGTTATCTGAAGATGAACAATTTTCAATTGGATTTAAATTTGTTGAATTCGCTGACGGGTTTGAAACACCTTGTAGATGATTAGAAGCTGAATAATTTGGTGCAATTAAAAAATTATCATTTTGTTTATTTGAAGTTGTAGATTGGTTGAATTGTAGCGAACCAGGCAATGTGTTACAGTTTGTATTTGATGATGTCATTCTGTCTGACTTCGGCTTGCTGTTAGACAGATACATTTGATTTTGATCTGTTATATAAGAAGAAGAGAAAAAGATGTTAAAGAACTCAGTCTTACGACTTTTTCACATGAACGGAGTGGTAAATATCTGAAATTCAAATGAGTAAATTACCAAGTTTGTCCGCTTTTGAGTTATCAGATTGATAATGAACACGAACCAGAAACAAGGTGAGCCATCAGTCTAATACTCATGTTTTTAAGATTAGCATGGTTTCATACTATTAAAAGTTATCAGTAACTGGACTGACTTTTTATTAAAAATAACTTTAAGGTAGGTATCATCACAGACGGACCCTGTCTAAAGAACCGTAGTAAACTTCAGAGCACTGGACGGCTGTTTCGTTATAGTTTGAATACCAGTATACCAGTTTTTTGTTTCAATAAAGTAGGGAAGACAACAGTTTAGATATTAGCAAACATGAAATGACCTTCCGGTAAAAATATCTGACTGTTGCCTTTAACTTTATTTTGATATTTTGACAAATTTACATTCAAAAACAAATAAGGAAGGCATGAGTGATTTATAAAGTGTATGATGTTTATTAACCTCTTCATCTTACCCATTACTAGTAAGATGAATTATAAATGAGTAGAAAGACTGCCTCACTTTGAGACAATCGTCTATCCAAATAATTTGTATCAACTGAAATTATTTTTGGTAACAGAACAACGACTGCCTCGGAAACTATAAGCATACATTTCTGTACCTTATGATGAATTTTCATCCAGCCTCTTAATGTATTATTATCATTGTTCCCTTGGGTTCCTAGTAGAACATAGGGCTTCAACTACACGTCTCCACTTGCTTCTGTCTTCTGCTGTATTTTTCACTTGCATCCATGTTAATCCATACTGTTTCAACTCGCCTTCACACGATCTCCTCCATGTTACCCTTGGACGTCCCACTCGCCGCCTCCCTTTCGAATTCCACTCGAGCACTGGCCTGACACGCGATGTCACTCAACGGCCTCCTCAGCGGGTGTTCAATCCATCTCCACTTTCTCCTGCATATTTGTTGGGTGATTGGTTCTTGTTGTGTTTGTCCCCATAGTTTCCTGTTGGTGATTCTTTCCGGCCATCTGATCTTCAGTATGGAGCCAGCGAAGACAGCTGTTGATAAATGTCTGCAACAGGCTGTTGGAAATATTCTTTGTGACCCGCTGCCAAGTTTCTGATCCGTATAGAAGAACTGACTGACTTGACGTTTGTATTGAAAATCCGAATTTTGTTGTTGATGCTGAGTGACGAAGATTTCCAGATTGGTTTCAGGTTGATGAATGTGTTTCTCGCCTTCCCGATTCTCGATTTGACATCCTCGTCCGTTCCACCTGCCTGTAGTTGAGACAATGCTCCCTAGATAAGTGAAAGAAGTAACCTCTTTCAAATCCCTCCCGTTGATGGTGATTGGCGCTGGATGTTGCTGTTGTTGTTGGTTGGTCATTTTCATAACCTCAGTCTTGTCTATGTTCACGTGGAGTCCTGTCTTTGCTGCTTCTTCGACCAGTTTGTCGGTTTTCGCTTGTAAGTCTTCGATTTTGTGTGACATCAAACATAAATCATCCACGCGCGAAATCCAGGTCTTCTAGGTTCTTCACGTTGGTCCAGGATATCCCTATCTTCTCGTTTCCCACTGTCTGACGCATAATCCAGTCCATAATCCATCACCACCTCTTAATGTAATGATTATGTAATAGAGTTAGAATTCTGATTAATGATTTAAATGTTAAACTATTCATGGCTTTTGACTGTTTTTATTTTATATCGATAAGCTTAAAATATTCCTTTTTAATTTTACTAATTTGTAAACTTTCCTGAAATATCAAAAAGAATTAAGGGCTGTATAGCCGAATCAGACTCACAATTCTCAAATTGTGCAGTTCGAAGTATTAATTTACCACTCTTTCCCTTAGAAACCAAAAATTTTCAAAACAAAATATTTGAACCAGTTCAAATACTATAAATGTCAGTGATGAACACAAGCATCATACACAAGACAACATATACCACTGATTGATATAAACATCCAGAAACTGTCATGTCAACCAGACTGGAGTGATCTAAACATAGGATTGCCGTTTTACAAATAGTCTGAACTGATTCAAATCTCACAGCTGGATCATTCGAGTAAAACCGCTGATCACCTCTGCTCCAAACGAGAGAAGTGGCGATCGTATTTAGAGCACTTCAACCTGGTCGGTAAGCACTGCTGTTTAAGATGTGTGACTTCTAACTATTCATGCTAATCATTAACATATACCATCAAGGGATGCATACAATGTTTTAGTCAAACAGTAAGTTTCAAGCCCGATAAAGGGGGAGATTAAGTGAAATAACACAATAATTTACTAAAATGCTCCTAAAGACATCTTTCTCAGTCTTCTTCACAGATAACTCTTAGTGGATATGCGGCTGCGACAAATGAGATAAGATAGCTTCTGGTGGACTGTACAAAGACTACTCAGAATCCTGAGTTCATCATTGTCAAATTTTAAAGTTAGTTTACATAATTCCACAAAACTGAATCCCCACAGTTACCGAAAATACTTCTGATTAATTCCTGAGATAACATATTAAATTCTATGTATATTCGGAATATTGCGGATGACTGGTTGTTACTATACACTTGTTTTACAAGACACTGAGTTTTGACTTTCAGTTTTAAGTATCTACCTGTTTGTCTTAGTCAAGAGGGTTCACAGTAAGTGTGCAAGCATCTTAACTCTGGATCTCAAATGTGAAGGAACTAATGTTATAGGTTCTGTTGCCTATTACCACTAAGCTATAAAACATAAATATGGTCCAATATCGTGCAGGTAGTAAGTTATTTAATTTGAGAAATATATATCAAGCCGACCATGCACATGGTCCGAGGTTCGACCCCCTGCCGACGCACCCCTAATATCTATGGTTGGCCTACAAAATTTGGGCTACCGATATCACATGCTGAAAATTCCACACTTGTACCAAAAATACGGTGTGGAATCAAGCTGTAATAAAAAAATAAATAAAATAAATTTAATTTCTTAAGTGTAAGAATATGATTGAGTGTTTGTCTTGTGAGTGCCGTCAAGATATGCTGCTTTCGAAACCCTCAGTAGATAAGTACAAATTAAGAAAATGTAAAAAGTTAGGTGGGAATGCGATAGGTATTTAGATTTTTTGCCGTCTATACTCCTTACGTATTCATTTTTATCTACATATTTTGAAACATTTGATTCTGAATGATACTTTACCCTCTAAACTGGTTGTTTTAATTTATTAGTTTAGTCAACTGAATCTGTAATGCAAATAGTCAGTGATGTGGTATACTAGATACGTTCAAATTCTTCTGTGTTTTGGGGAAGTGTGTGTGTGTGGGGGGGGCGGGGAATTCGACTAATTTCAATGCAGATTTCATCACTGACCTACATGATTTAGAGAATCATTGGATGCCAAGGAACAATAGGCATCTGTTTCGTTCTAGTTTGTAACAGGTCGGCTGAATGATCAGTAGGTTGGCTTCGCATTCTGAAGTCCTTGGGTTCAACCTCTGATGCAGTACTGGGTACGCAATGCTAAAGAGTATCGAACTATGACAAAACATCTGTCCAGGGAGCTCTAGTTTTCATTGGCTCTTTAACATCATTCGGCTCAAGAAAAAATATATACTGACATAAGTTTTGCATTCACATAGATACAACTTAAGTAAGTACGCTCCGTAAACTACGGAATTTCTTCCATCAGCGTATATCTAAATGATACTTAAAGCGAGATATTCACAATAATTTTTTTCCTTCGAAAACTTAAACAATTTATTTGGCAACAATAATGTCATCGAGAATAAAAGCAGAAATTCCGATGGGAATCTACTGCTGATCAACATGCTTCTTAAAATCCAGCTTTCGTTATTCGTTTTCTTCACTTTATAAAAGTAAGGACCAAACTCTTGAAAATTAATCTGCTGCTCGCTAGTGACTTGCTACAGGACACAGTTTCCTGGAGTTCCAGTGAGAAGTCGTGACCAGTGAGGTCCATCCAGATGTCACGTGTGAGGATGGATGTCCCACCGATGACATTGGTTGGTGGTCGTGCTAAATCACGAATTGGAGGAAGTTGGAATTCACGGATTGGCCACTGAATCGGGTCTCAATGGCTGAATGGTATACGAGCTTGACTTGTATCTGACGGTCCCGGGTTTAAACCCAAGTAGGTGTGTACTGCCAAGGACTGCCAAACTAGGATGAAACAATTGTCCAGTACTCCCTGGTTTTCAGTGGTTCTTTAACTGATATCAATCCATGGTCAAACTCGTATAAACAAAACTCTTTTAACGACTCATATTCTTGATTTGAATCTGCACATTCGTAAATTTGATGGTCTCACAACCAAAAGCAAATGTACAACACTGCGGTTAGCAATTTATTTAAGTTGTTCACTTTCCCCTTTTGTATCTTTCTGGTGACTATGACATCATGTGAACCAGATATTCTAATCGTCTAGTACTTCTCTTACATTGAACAGTAGCTTTTGCGAACACCTAGTTCTGTTTTCTTAGAGTAGTGCTTTATTTTTGGGAACTTCTTCTAGAAAGCACTGAATTGTGTATAATTATGTTTCCTGTCAGCAAGTTGAAGGGATGCTGAACCTCATATACTTATACTTTGCAATTAATAAGTCGATATAATACAACGACGAGATCAAGGGACTGTAATCCAGCTATAAAGCACTACACACCAGGCAGAAAATGTCTAAAAGAAGAATGGAGCAGTATTTGTGCAATATTTAAAAACAAAAGGAACTCACTAAAATTTTGGTTATCTCTGTCTTCATTCATACCAACTGTAAAATTATCTTGATCCATTAAAAATGGTTGCAGTTTATCTGCCTGACAAGATACCACTGCATTCATATTAGAAGTTGTATCTGCATCAAAATGCAGCAGCTTGAGTGATAAACACTTTGTAACATAATGTTCATAGCAGAATACATCATTATTAAAAATGCCGCATTTATCACCTTGATATAATTGACGACCACACTGAAAACATGTAAAACACGATACATGAAAGGGTATCTGGTTTAATTTATGTACTTTAACATCTTCTGGGACTTGAAGTTGACATCTTCCACATTGTTTAAACCTATGAAACAGAAACAGTAAGCACTGTAACACTGATATGTGCATTACATTGACAGTCATTATTAAATGTAAAACAGAAACTTTTTGAGTGCTTGTTGAGTGCTTTCACCAACTGAGTTGCGAGACCTAGATACTAATCTGTTACTAACTAATTTCAGTAGTCAAGGGTCTTAGGAATAAATGATACACATGTGCTAATATTTACACTATGATAAAAGACGGATTCTTTACTGAATAAAATTGCCATTGCAATTCTGATAGTAAGCAGCTCAAGAAATTTAGTGGTATATCAGTGCGCCGGTGGCACAGCTGTAGAATGCTCTCCAAGCACGCATGTGGTCCGGGGTTCGATCCCCGGCCACCTACTCACTCCCTTACCTCGCTAAGGCAGTAATAAAACTAGTAAAGAGGGAAGGTTGGGCAAGAGGCCAGCAACCCCGTCCCGTAGAAATAAACATCAATGCTACCGTAACTTCGGGCCTGTAGCTTGAAGCCATATGTTCCACTGGTAACGCAAATGAATAAAAAAAGAAGTGGTAAATAAGCTTTTATTGAGGCTGGTGTTTAAGTATAATCATTATTAAAAGGAGTCCTGAGAAATGCTTTACTTTCCGTACGGATGACTTTGAAGTAAAGCTTCTGATGTCAGAAGTGAGTGGTTCATTAGTCTTAACAGGCTAAAGTTTCTTCATAATCACATATAAGTTGTATTGCATAACAAGCACAAAATTCCAACCATCTTCTTGTCACTAGCCTTCCCTCCATAGCTAGAAACACATTTCATCTTGTCTTTGATTGTAGTCTTCATGAGAATACCTGGTATTTACAGAAATTAGTTACTAGAGAATACCCACAGCACTGTGCAAGTTCTTTGGGATCTGTGATATGACCATTAGGAAGGATGATATGAAACTCAAGATCCCTGTTACTCAATGATGGATATGAGAGGTTAATTCATAGAAAGTCTTCCACCGAGGTTTTGATGGCTTCTGATCACTGTCAGTAAACTGTGAGTTGAGTCTGTCGCTATGTGGGGATCAATTCGTATACACTACCTATTTCAATGAGTGGCCAATAAAGCCTATAGAGTTTCGGGTCAGAGTTCCTTATTTTAGCAGCAAGTGACACAAATTCAGGTTTCAGAAGACAAATAAGTCTCTTTAAGCTATCAGACATGTCTTGCTGTTAATAACCAACCAGAACAACATCCAAATATAGTCATCTCAAAAATCCTGTCATTGCGGCTAACCATGTGCCTGAGTCCTTAAAAATCAGGTGTGCTACTTCATATTTAGGTCTTAATTTTCGTCGCCGATTATACTTGGCTATAACAACTAATTTCAGTTAAATAACCTAATGGTAAGTAAATCTGAGAGGTTAGATTATAAACCAAGTGCAATAAAAACTAATGACTTCCATTTTTGATGTTATGCATTGGATACATAAGAGAAATTGTGTGTTTGAGCTCCTTTATAAATCATATGCCATTAAAATACACGTGTTTCTGATACAGTTAATATGTGCTTGACTTGTACTCATGAAATTCGCCACCTCCTAGTGATTAATCAGTGTATCCATCACAGTCAGACACGAGGTCGGTCCAGCCCAAATGGTTCAGTGGCACGATCTCTGAGTACTGCACTTGATGACAAAGATTCAAGTCATCAAGGGGATATCGGTTCCTTCAAGGTTACAGATGCTCCTTGCTGACTAGTTCCAATAAGAAAGGAACTTAGATACAAGGCTTCCTGTTAGTTGTCATTAACCACACAAGGTTGTACTTTGTTAAACAATTTGTATACCAGTTTAGTTTTTTGGTTTGATATTGTGGCATGAAATACAATGACAGGCATTTTGCTTTGTGACTATTACCTTTAAGAAATGTAGACATATATCTCAGTGTTTTCATGTGTTCTCCAGAAACGAATTAGTTGGTAATCTACGGTATATCCACTTTGTTTCAAAGTCTTAAAACTTTTTCGAAAGCAATGGTAGGCTTATTGGTCAGTGACTCACACCTTTAATGTATCGTATTGCTTTAATTTGTAATTTTCGCTCAGTATGGGTACAAGTACATGTATATTATCTTTCAAAGTTAAAATAAGTGTAATCTGTTTTGAATATTAACTAGGCAGTGGCCTGTTAGGTACTTATCGCTATTCAATCCCAACAACTAAATAACAAAGTCTTGAGCAGATGAAATATTCTCAAATGTAAGTCATTTAAGGACTATATTTTAACCATAGCCCATCAAATTTTCAAATTCTGCTACCTGTCACAATAGAAAGGAGACAAAGACAAAATATGCTGAAATTACAACGTAGTTGCTTCACCCAAAAGTCACATAGTACCAAACAATTCACTAGTTTTGAACCCTAGGAACAGGAAATAATTGTTATGAATATAACCTAATAAATGCATCAAATGGTATGGTTTGTATGTCTTGACATCTGGTAAGAGTATAGGCTTTTTTGATTTTACTGAAGATAAGCTGAGTCAAACGTTATTAAATACAGTAGAAAGTGGAAAAAGGTTTAAATATTTTCACACTGGTTTGTAAGCTTTCAGATGTAAAACATTAGTAGGATCCTTGAATGATAACACCATTTCTACGCTTCGTGAATATACATTACAGTTCAACCTTTGAGTTATAATTTAATGGCAAGAATTTTCCAACTGTGTTTGTCCAACTTTACAACTTAGATGTCCGTCATCTTTAGCAAACTTTTACTTTACATCGTTGCCCAACTTTGTATTGAAGTATTAGGGAGATCTGTAGAATGGAATAATCTATTTACACTAGATATACTGAAAACGTTTGTGAAAAAATTAATCTTCCAGAGCGTCGGTGGCATAGCGGTAGAATGATCGCCGACCACACGTGTGGTCCGGGTTTCGATCCCCGGTGGACGCATTCCTTGACCTCGCTAAGCCAGTAATAAAAGTAGTAAAGACAGAAGGTTGGGCATGAGGCCAGCAACACCAAGCCGTAAAAAATAAATACCACTGCTTCAGAAACTTCTAAACTCTAGCTTGAAGCCGTATGTTCCCCTGGGAAGGTAAAGGAATAAAGTAAGAGGTAATTTTAAACCAGTCACTAAGGGCTTTCTTCCAAGCAGTATTACCTTAGTATTAATAATGCGAAGTGTAGAAATTTTATATTCTATTATGATACTTCATTGTTATTCTGAAACATAATATGAAGATTTCCGTTGTTGATTTTCACGACTAAAATGGTCAGAAAGTACTTAAAACATAAACCTCTTACTGTTAAAATTGGACATGAATAAACATTGAGTTATCTTACCTTGTTCTACAATTTACACAGATAACTTTATTTTCATGATGGATCCAGCACTTCTCATCTCCAAATGCCAATCGATCACCACATTCAAAACAATTCAAACAGTGAACATGATAAATTTCTGGTTGATTATTAAGTTGTACTTCATTGGACAATATATTCATGGGTTTGTCTAATTTACACTGTCCCCCTTTCAATTTCACATTATCGTAATTCATTGTTTTGTCTTTCTTTACTAAAAGTATTAAGATACGATCTCGTATTTGATGTTTGCATCCTTTACATTGTAATTCGTTAGAGTATGTCATGTCTTTGGAGTATCTTTTCTGCAAAGTGAAGCGAAGGAAAATGTAGAAGAGATAAATTAAACTATAAAGTAACCACTAATTCTGTTACCCTGAAAAATGTAGTTTTCATATCTTTATTTATTTTATTTTTATTTCGATTATAGCTTGAAACCACACTGTATTTTTGGTACAAGTATGGAATTTTCAGCATGTGATATCGGTAGCCCGAATTTCGCAGTTCGAACATTGATATCAGGTGTGCGTCGGCAGGGGATCAAACCCCGGACTATGTGCATGGTCGGCGAGAGTCCTAACCGCTGTGCTACTGGCGCAGGCAGAAATTTACATTTCCACATAATTGGTATAAAACCTCCTCATTATTGATGATTAGTAGAAACTCATACACGCAGTGTGAAATACCAACTGATGCGTCTTTCACATTAGGGAAATACGTTGATTTTGTCTGCTGCTGAAACTGAAAGCCCCCCAAGTTATTCTAGTTGTAACAAGGTATTATCTTGCGCCAATATTTATACTCGTAGCCATACTAATAAAAATTTAGCGCTGAAAAATACAATTGAAGTTCTTTTTTTGATTGCGCACTAGTCAGAAACTAGTGTAATGTGTCTAGTCCTATCTTCGGTGCAGACTGAATTCTATCAGTCATGTTTGCAATGTGGCCACCATGCTGGGTGGCACACCATCACGGTGCACTGTGAATTGTTGGTATTAGATGGTTGGAGGCGATCGGCAGGAAGCCTTGGACCTAGGTTTCGTGCTGGTTGGCACTCATCAACAAGGCGTATCTGCAACCTTGAAGGAACTGATGTCCCTTCTGAGATTCGGACCCACGTCACCCAGTGCTGCAGTCAGAGATGTTGCTACTGAGCTATTCATGCTCGCGACTGACCTCCTGTAGGACTGCATGTGGCCACCATGCTAGCTCAGTGGTTACGTCTCTGACTGCAGCACTGGGTGACGCGGGTTCGAATCTCAGAAGGGACATCAGTTCCTTCAAGGTTGCAGATACGCCTTGCTGACGAGTGCTAAGCAGCACGAAACCTAGGTGCAAGGCTTCCTGCCGACTGCCTCCAACCATCTAATACCAAAAATTGAAGTTCTGAAGATTTATTTTTATCTGTTATCATTTGTCAGCCCTGTTATTTCCCAGAAGGGTATGGATACTAAACAGGATTTCCAGTCTGTGTTGAGGCTGTGATATGATCTCTTGTGAAAGTAGGATGGTAAAACTATGCGTTTCAGTGTACTGCGTACCATAAATAGCATCACTTCAAACAATTCAGAGAACAGTAATACATTTGTTATTCAGACTGATGAATAATTAATTACCTGTATTATTTATTAAAACTGAAAAAATGACCTAAACAGTGGAGGATCATTTAGTTGGCATGTAGTCAACACCATCAGTGATATCCATAAGGACGCGTTGTCCAAATCACCTAAGTGAGACACTTTCATTTGGCCTTTTTTACGGAACTTTAATATTTTATTGCCCAATAATGTTTTCAAGAGAAACAATAAATAGTCTCGCGAGGGATTTTCCTCCACTCTGAGGACCGCCATTCCCCTAAAGTTTTTATAATGTAGATATTGTTAGGAATTCGATTCTCTGAGCTAAGCTGATCGAATGATAACACTGTTAGTTTTGGTAGCAAACAGGTGAGACTTCTGTCTAGTCTGTAAATCTCTATGGCATGGTTCGTCAGTGTGAGTTTCTATTATCTATTAATACCACTACTCAACATATATCCTGATGTTTTTTATCCATTGTTTCAACGGAAAATTAAGTGACACATTTCTCACGTGTTATCTATAAAAGACATTTCTATATTTTCCTAGCCCTTGAAACAATACTCCTGATACATTTATTGACACACAATTCCGTTTCACAATTAAAAATTACAGCTTTTTATTAATTGACTTCTAAAGGTATACTGTATTAATTTATAGACTTGTGCTTCGTATTAATATTCCCTTCTGTTATTCTAAGTTTACTACTCGACTAAAGAATCAAGGGTATACATTTGATTCTACCACAGCTGTCTGACAGATGTGTAATAAGACTGATATAAGATGATAAAAGTTTTTCGGCAGAAAGCTGAAAACGGGATCTTCATGTTTGTGATGCACGTCGCTAAAGTATGTTCACCGATTTGGGGCAACGTCGTTCTATAAGGAATCTGAAGGGACGTTTAGCAATAGCATTTTAACATCACTTAATAGTATGCAATTAATAGTAGTGATAAGACGTCAAACCAAAGGTTTTTCAGTCGTCAATGCGTGCAACTAACCACTTTAAATGAAACAATGAACAAAACAACTGTACCTATGGTTTTCGTCGTGAAAAATGAAAATTCTCATAAGTTCATCCTTTTTCCAGTTTACTATTACAATTTATTTTACTTTCCATTATGTACACTGAGAACATATAAGCTGGAAATGCTGTACTTCATTAAACATATCTCCTCATCTGAATTATACAAGATTGTTTCTAATATAGTTGACATGTCATTCCTCAGACAGATAAAGTCTTGTGTCACCGAGAGTTATACCTTTTATGTTGCTTATTAGTGTTTTAATGGTTCATTTCCAGTATACATAGTGTAAACTAACTCGCCTGGTATGTTGAAGAAAATCAAATATGTTCACCTATCTTCAAGTTCAGGAAAGTGTATTGCCAAAATTTAATTTCTCTACAGTTATATTATTCTCAAGCATATAGGGTAAGGAAACAAGAAAAACTCTGAATACTTCAGTCTTCATACGATATCTTATGTGCATGTCATTCAGTAAAGGTGAGAAGTAATTTGTACCCAAGTATTATTATTATTGTTCCCTTGGGTTCCTAGTGGAACATAGGGCTCCAACTACACGCCTCCACTTGCTTCTGTCTTCTGCTGTACTTTCCACTTGCATCCATGTTAGTCCATACTGTTTCAACTCTTCTTCACACGATCTCCTCCATGTTACCCTTGGACGTCCCACTCGCCGCTTCCCTTTCGGGTTCCACTCGAGGGCCTGACGCGCGATGTCACTCAACGGCCTCCTCAGCGGGTGTCCAATCCATCTCCACTTCCTCCTGCATATTTGTTGGGCGATTGGTTCTTGTTGTGTTTGTTCCCATAGTTTCCTGTTGGTGATTCTTTCCGGCCATCTGATCTTCAGTATGGAGCCAGCGAAGACAGCTGTTGATAAATGTCTGCAACAGGCTGTTGGAAATATTCTTTGTGACCCGCTGCCAAGTTTCTGATCCGTATAGAAGAACTGACTGACTTGACGTTTGTATTGAAAATCCTAATCTTGTTGTTGATGCTGAGTGACGAAGATTTCCAGATTGGTTTCAGGTTGATGAATGTGTTTCTCGCCTTCCCGATTCTCGATTTGACATCCTCGTCCGTTCCACCTGCCTGTAGTTGAGACAATGCTCCCTAGATAAGTGAAAGAAGTAACCTCTTTCAAATCCCTCCCGTTGATGGTGATTGGCGCTGGATGTTGCTGCTGTTGTTGTTGGTTGGTCATTTTCATAACCTCCGTCTTGTCTATGTTCACCTGCAGTCCTGTCTTCTCTGGCTGCATCTTCGACCAGTTTGTCGGTTTTCACTTGTAAGTCTTCGATTTTGTGTGACACCAAACATAAATCATCCACGCGCGAAATCCAGGTCTTCTAGGTTCTTCACGTCGGTCCAGGATATCCCTGTCTCCTCGTTTCCCAGTGTCTGACGCATAATCCAGTCCACCACAATAAGGAATATCATTGGTGATAATAAGCATCCTTGTCTGACTCCTGTGTTTACTCCAAACGCTTCGCCGAGTTTTCCGTTGTGGTATACCCAAAAAGGTGTTTATGAAAAACAACAGTCTGCACTAAAACCTTAATCAAATTTTGTAGTAGTAATAGCATCGGGTTCAAATCTCATTCCTTCCGCAGTTTGCGGCAAACTGGGCGAAAAGTCACGAGTTTAAAGCAGTGGCAACCAGATGCACTTCGTCTTGAAGTCAAATCAATCTCATCTCTTTTAAAAATAACATTTTGGTGAAAAATGGTAATAAAACAAATAAAATGCTTAAATATCTTCATCTCAGTTAAAAATCAGTGATGACGAATCACAAATTACAGTACTGACTTTGAATTAAACGCATATTTTATCAATTTACTAAATCTAAGTTCACTTCTTGAACACATAGTATAAATTCCATTATTTTTAAAGACATTTAAGAGGCATTGATGTTGCAGAACTAGTTTGAGGGAGCTAACAGCTTACATGTGGAAGTTCATCGAAATGTCTGATGAAAATTAATCCTACTTTCTTCATTATTTTAATTAATACGAGTTGATGAAGTGGTGCGACCGGTATATTTCTCAGTGAAACTTACCTAAGTAACAGAAGTGCTTACTTACTTGGTATCCCTTTATGTTTTATGGATCGCCTTATTATGAAGAACTATACTGGAGTGATTTCTGTTTTCTTAGTTCCTGTGTGAAATTCTGTTTTATTATCAATAACAATGACTAAGAGCTGAAAATGTTACTCTCGTTCCTCGGAGTTTTCAGGACAATTTTTAAAATGATATATCCAGTTACATACACTAAAGATATCATCAATACCAGAAGACTTCCCGAAACAGAGTTTGACTGAAGAATGATGTCAGTTATTTCCAGAGAATCTCCAGTGTTTCAAATACAATTTATTTCATGATAAATCTAACCAGTTTCAAGTTGTTAATGAGTGAAGTGACATTCTGTAAATCATCGATCCACAAGTTTTCAGTGGAATGTTTCACCAACCAAGTTGTAAAGTTTGGATAAAGATAAAGGCTAGATTTTATTTCATTAACTGAGATTTTCTTTAAATGACGCGTAAATTAGTGATATTTGTCTATTTATTTAACATGAATACACTATCTGTTTAGTTTCGTATTTATTTTCTGGTCTAAATCAACTTATTTTGTTAGGGAATTCTTTTTCTTTAGCAGGGTATTTTTCTTCCACTAATTTGTTGAACTTTTTAATTTAAGTATTTTTTGGATTTGTTGAATGCAGCTGAACTTGACTTTTTAGATGTTTCGAGCAACATTTCATGATCCTTGTTATATACGATATTTTTGAGTTTGGACTTCCGTTGTTCAGTATCTGTTCAGTATCATCTAAGTTACTGATAATTCTGTGGATCTCTTCTATTAAAACAGAGTCTACTGAAGTGCTGTCCTGCTGCTTTCACCTTTCTTGTTTTAACCGCAAGGCGAATACGAAGATATTTAACAGTAATTTCATAATTTTTTAGACATTGAATGTTAAAAATACAATGATTTGTAAATCTTGCTTCTTTTTGTAATAGTCGTGTGAGTTTATTGACTAGTCTTCGAACATGAAGACTATAAGTACTCAAATCAACTTATAGCAGGATGGTAACTTATCCAACCTGGAGTAATTTGAACTCCACTTACCTGTGAATCACTCAAGAAAATACTTTAGGATACATAGTTCAACCAGCAAAACGTATCTGATTTTATAAATACGGTGGTACTAATCAAAATAACTTTAGAATTATTGATTGGACTATCTGGAATAGATTCGATCGCCATGCAGCAGTAATTAAATATTGGGTTAAACCTAGTGTTGTGTCATTATTCACTTTGATAAAGCTGGTGCAACCTCTACGATCTTGTTTACATTTCACACAAATAGGCATCAAATGAGTAAAACAAGCTATTTCTTGTTCATATACTAATAATAGCACAAACTCAAATGAAGATACGATGACGGAGACATCTAGTTATGATTATTCATTGATTTCTTTCTGAGGATCACTGTATAGCGATAAATAAGCGTCATGATAATGAAAATGCATTCAGTTTTATCAACAGGTTATATAAGATTCTTTTTTGATTGGTCGTGGGAATAACTTATTTGTTGAGAAATGTAGGCAACAGAAAAAATCAGTTCTACACTTGGAATGGTACAGCTCATGGAATCACAAGCTACTGATGTTTACACTTTGATTTTTCTTCCCTTCTACCTGATCCCCAATGGGTTTATGGCTAGAAAAGTCCCAAAGTAGAACGAAACATCTATTAAGTGTTTGTTGTCCTCTAATTTTCCGGAAACGTACGTTCGTATATGCCAATATTTATATTGATTAAATTTCTAAAAAAGCCAGAAATTCAAAATACCCGATCTTTCCTCAGCCATACTTCCTCCTTAAATTTAGCTCGATGTGTTAGTTTTATGTTTTTGCTGTTTTATTTTCCCAGCAGAGATGACAATCTTACTAATAAACCAAAGTCATAAAGAAGAAGGGATGATGTAGACAAGTAAATTCTATAATAATGAAGATCCCTGAAAGAACCTATTCTTATTTGACTAATGTTTACAAACTGAAGCAACTGTTGGATTCCCAATCAATTTTGATGTGAACTTCACTTTTCAAAATTGCAGCTCATATATATTGTATAAGTGATGATTTTTACAAATTACTAGCCAAATGGATAACTTTTGAATATATGTTCGCGCCAAATTTTATTTCCAATGAAACTATTAACATATAATTTATGATTCAGACATGACAACACTAGACAAATCACAAGTTTAACTTCCAATTCAGTGAAAGTCATCTAAACTTCTTTAAAGAAACCGTTGCTGAAATTCAAAATCAACTTGTAGACGAGTGGCATAATTCGACTTACTAGAACTAGATCCTTCCTGATTTCAGAATCATGCAGTAGTGAGAAACATTTTGCATAGATTCTTTTCTCCTTCGAACAAATATATTTTTACTTATAGGAAAATAAGAACTCCATATTAAGTCTACTTGATATAATATGCATATCTTATTAAAAAATCGTTGCCATTTCAAGTGCAATTTATTGTTAACACACATCTCTGTGCGTGTCAGTGGTTCAGTGATGGAGTGCTCGCCAATCAATCACTTGGTTTGAGTTCGACTCCCCGGTGACGTGCTCCTAAACCTCGCTTAGCCGGTAATAAGCCCGGAAAAGAGGGAGATTGATGACGCCAACTTTAAAATAATGCTGCTACTGGAATTTCAGACCTCAAGATTGAAGCCCACTTGGAACGCGGAAGGAATGAAAAAAGAACTGTATTCATACAAATTCTTGCCTTACTTCATATAGTATTTTACTACTTATTCAGTGTACGCGGACTGGTTTTGGGTCATTTCTACTACATGTGTTCAACATTGAACAAATATTTTCTGCCTAACCATATTACACCTCTTAGTACGTTTATGGTGTCCCATCCTTTTGTGTGATTGCATGCGAGTGTATGCATGCCAGTGGCAGAAGTTCTCCCATACTGTCTAAGTTAATGCAGCCTATCATTCTGGTGATAGCTAACGAAATTCATAAACACAGTGATGAATCAAATACCTCTTTTACCATTAGATTATAACTAGTCGTATTTAACAATCCTGGCAATGTTTGGTATTTTACAAATCAAGTAAACCAGCCAGCGGGAAGGATAATTCAACACAACGGTATACTGAGTTCAGTTTCATACAATCAACTAATTACGAAGGATAATCATTCAGAATAAATGCATAATTAACAGAATATAAATCCATTTAAAAAAAGACAATAAATACTTTGAGGTTCAACTGTCTAACAATGTAAACCACTAGTCAAAGTCCTTCACTTTTATGTCTGACTCGAAGATAGTACAGACGGAAAAAATATACTACAAAGCAGCAAAAACAACTGAAAACTATCCCAGTTATTCTCGAGAATTTCTCACCGTAGCGTTATTATCTAAACTCTGAATGATAGTTATACTTAATCGGTATGCCTGAAGCAAGCGGCAAACCATTCAAATAAGGAAGTTGTGGTGTTTTAATTTGATGAGGAAATATGCAACAAAACAGATATTGTATACACGCCAGTAAATTAGTCGGACAGTGCTTGGGTGCTTCTCTTTAGACTGAATGAGATATTCACATCATTCTCAGTAGTTTGAAACTACCGAGTTATACTTAAAGCAATTAAAAGTTTGCTTACTTGATTTTCATCAGACATCGTTATTGTTATTCAGGATGACTCTGTCAGCAGCAAATATCCAGACAAGTCTTTTGTTCAAAATAAATAAATCAAGAAAGGGAAATATTTTCAGAAATGATGATGAAAATCTTCGAAATGAAAAACAGGTTTATTCTTCTTCCTATTTTATGCTTTATAGACCAATGAGCCGAAGATAACTGATGTTGTTCTATACACTTTCAATGCAATGGTTCGCGGATTCTTTAAACGCTTATATGAATGCATATTCGCACACCTACGTGCGGCAACTTATAGACTAATTTCTTTCTTCGCATGAACAAGGTTAGAGACTAGCAGTGATTTGTAGAAAACGTTGTTGTTTTTTCTCCATTTTCTAAAATAGAACAGAAAAATAAAACTGATAGACTTTCTCTTCTATGTTTCTTCCACCCACTACTTCTATGTTCCCTTTTGTTTTTATTTTATCTACCATTTTTGCCTGTGTATTTTCGCCCAAGACATGGTTGGTTATTTCAATGAAATTCTGTCTATCCTGTTTCCCTATGCCTTTTCTTGTTACTAAATGTAACAGTAGTATAAAAATGATAAGTTGCCTTCTATTAGGCACTCCTCTCATTTGTACTCTGTATGATTTCCTACTGTTGTGTGTGTTCATGAGTAGATATAGAATGTGACTGAATTTTTTATAGTTGCATCTCTTAAAATTTAACAGAAACACAGTTTGAAAAGAGGGAAGGGAATAATACCCAATTTTTAGTAGATTGTTTTGTTTCACCTCAAATGAACAATGCAGAAATAAATTGTTAGTTTAGGAAAAAATTGAAATTGTGGGTTAATCACTCTATTTTTGTTTGTTTTTATATAAGACAGAAACTGTAGAATAGAGGAAGAGAAAAGAAAAGGTGGAGGATGAGAAAACTTTCTCCCTACCACTTATGCTCTACCGTAAATACAATAAAGGGGATGCCAAAGTCGCATTTCATTGGTTGTGACTATGAGTATAGGTGTTTTGTACGCATTCAGTGTAATGTGTAATTTGATTTATTGGGAAGTGAATGTCGTTTTAGAATCAGTAGTGTTATATTATGGCAAACATCATGGTTGATGAGTTTCACATATTTAGTTCTTACAAAAACAGTCTGATGTTTGTCTGAAAAAATCCTGGGGGCATCGTTTAAGTTAAAAACTCTGTTATCAAACTAATTTTATTTACACTAACAGGTGACAGTCTGCTAATCAATGTAGGAACTTCACTTTCTCCTATTATACTATCTAATATTATTACTGATCCCTTGGGTTCCAAGGAAAACATAAGGCTTCGGCAGTACACCTCTATTTCACTCTATTCTCTACAGCTCTTTTTAGCTGGCTCTGAAAATACCAATCTCATCACACGACCTCCTCCATGTCATACTTGGATCCACGCTCAGCTTGTCATTTCCCGTTTGAGTACCGCTTAAGGGATAGGCACTTGATGTGACTCAACAGTCTGCTCAAAGTCTGTCCAGTCCATCTCCATTTCCCTCAGCATATTTGTTCCTGGTTGTTTCCTTGCTAGAGTTCCATGTTACCAATTCTTTCTGACCGCTGGAATTTCAGTAAGAATCATTTTGAATGGTAAGTTTAGTCTTAACAGTGAAGTTTGTAATCGTTTAAAGAAAGTATCATCTATTTAAAGCTTCCTAGTGATCTGCTGAAACAATAGAGGTTTCAGAATGAAATCAGAAGTGCCGAGGTTAAACTTTAGGCACAAGTAAGTACCAGCGATGTGCAACCACACCAATGACATTAAAATGCTCAGTGGACAACTTAATGAAACATATAAAACAGAAAATAATTGAGCAAAGAATATCCTTTTCGATAAATTCCTCTTCCGGCTCTACAATTACATATATATGTTTATATACATGGAATATTCTAGATTAGTAGTGAATAACAATATTAGTGTTTTTTTAATAATATCGATATGTAAAGTAAGATCACAATGGAATTACAGTCCACTAAAGATGCTTAACTGCTGCTGTGTAGCCACTTACATAGGCCGTACAATTAGGCGTGTTTCTCGTCGAATTTCGGAACATCACCCTGTGTGGTTAAGCAAAGGACAAACAAAATCTATTCGCAGCGCTATTCTATCTCATCTTGTGGATACAGAACACAGGATTGGTATTACCAGGCTTTCAGGGTCAATTACCGCATACCAAAAAATCTCAATTTCGCCTTAAGAGTTCGAATACTAAATATTGTTGATGCTGTTGGGATCCAGATTAAGAAGCCTAATATGTGCATCCAAAAGAAGTTAGTTCAGACATTATCTTTACCTTGGCCATCCAGGTTTGGATGATTCTCAATTTGTTGTGGAAATTTCCCTAATTTTAGTTGATATTCTATTTGCTACTATATCTTTATTATTATTATAATTTAAGCATCTTTAGTGGACTGTAATTCCATTGTGATCTTACTTTACAAATCGATATTATTAAAAAAACACTAATATTGTTATTCACTACTAATCTAGAATATTCCATGTATATAAACATATATATGTAATTGTAGAGCCGGAAGAGGAATTTATCGAAAAGGATATTCTTTGCTCAATTATTTTCTGTTTTATAGATGTCTGAAGGAATATTTTCGCTATAGTAATGAAACCTATCAAATTACATTCCAATTATGAACAAAATATGCTTTATGAAGTGTTATGATATTAAACCGGATATCTGATAAGTTTTTTTAAGTTTAGGGGAGATCAAGTTAGGTTAGGGTTAGGTTAACCTAATAAGGGCGATATTACGATTGGTTCGTGTTAAATTAGGTTTCGTTCGGGGATATTTTCCCGTTAGGGTTAGGATAAGTACATGCATAGAATGTGGTTAAATTACTCTGTTGACTCTCCAATTCAAAACTGGTAGCCATTTTTGTCTCACGCCAGAGAAAGGTATTCTGTGTAAAATTTTCATGCCTTTTAATTCATTATTTTTGATGAATATATGTATTTTTATACACAAAAATAGCCTTCATCATATGAATGCTGAGTTCAAGGTCATTTTTCTTTTGGTACTTACTTGTGCTTAAAGTTTAACTCCACCTCAGATGTCTTCTTCAAGCTTTCAGTCATATCATAGTTATTATCTGCAAAATTATGTCCAAGAACTATGAATTTCACTAAGAATGAGGATTGGAATACTATCAAAATGCTCCACCAAAATATGTACACTGAGGAGAAAGTCTTAACAGATGATGGGAAATGTGATATACACTTCTTATGGACTAAATCAAAGATTTTAAACCAGTAAAATGTTTTTCACAAGGATTTTTTTAAACATAATCTCTCTATGTTATCCTCAGTTCTTACTATGAATTTTTAAAATTGAATAATGCCCTCAAGGCTAGTAGGATAACTTACTAAAATTAAAAGGTTGTCTATTCAACATTGTGTTTACATTTCTGCATCTACACTTTATTTCACTTTGTCCGTTTAAAACGACTAATTTTTAGTGTAACTTAAAAAGAATTTGCATAATTAAGACACAAAAAGTGGCTTTATTGAATTAAACAATTCTCAACTATTATTGCCTGTGCCTATGATTTACAATTCCTATCTGTTAGCTTACTATTTTTACTCTTCTTGTGCCTAAAGTTATGATATGTAAACGAAAATTTAACATTTCTTTTCTTTGTAAGGTGATTCCATTTTTTTTTCAAAACTCTTTTAAAATTTAATATGATTAACTTTAATTAAGTAAATATCCAGAGAAAAAAACGAGGATAGTGAGTAGAAATGAGCATTCCATGAGACTGTTGTAAAGTTCAAGCAAAATAGTGCTATGGGCATTTTTGTTATTATTGGCCTAATGTCCTTCTTCGTGGGTAAAATAAAAAGCTGAGACAGCTTAGCAAAGAGATGCCTACAGTTTTGATGAAATGAAGACAATTCTTTTTGATAAAATTATTTAAAACAAACGACAAGTGTCCAAAAAAATGATTAGATGGAGTGATAAATTTCCGTAGGAATGTTTACCTAAATAATCTGTATACTCAAATATATATACATATATATGTAATGAAAGAGAAAGACGTGGACTACAAACTGGGATAATAGTTCTGCCATAACAACATAAGTGTGGGTGATGAACCTTAGGATTTGGTGGCTGAACCATAGTACGGTTAGAGATGTGGTAACCGACGTGGTAATTGCATCATGAATAATGCAGTAACTACTAGTTGAGTAAAAACTTGGATTATTGTACTGCTATAGATTAGGGAGATAAATAAATGGGATTGGAAATATGAAATTAACATATTGTGAACAATATACACGTAAGAATTGTATTAGAGATAATAACAGCAAACATAGGTAAAAACGAAAATACCAGCTTGTCAGATCTTTTTTAAATGTGTTACAGCGGATGAATCATGGTAACAGTGAAGTCATTCTGCAGACAAAGTCTTGGTCGTACAGTTGAAACGCGCAAACCCCTCAAGTGCCAACATTTCATCATTTTTATGCTTAATAAGAATGGTAAATGATTTGATAGCATCGATGTCTCGTCTATAACACAGACCAATTTATGTTAGTAAGAATATTTTTAGTATTACTGATGGTGAGTAGACTTCAATCTTCCTGTCTGGTCACCGGCAACCGGTTCCTGACGCTTCTCCACTGCCTTTTGGATCAGGCAGCAAGTCAAATAAAGTTTTTCGGAGGAAGACTAAATCCATTTTCTTTCAACTGTACTTTTATTCAGTAGTGTAAGATAATGAAACATAGCACTTCATGTGTTGTAGGGTGGATCACTTAATCAGATGGTTAGGAAAAAACATCGATAGTTGAATTACAGCCCAACAGTCAAATAGTATTTGGAGGATTGTCAGATGTAAAAATGATGACAACACTAATCGACGCATACCCCTAGAAATACCTAGCGGAATTTTAATTTTCGGAAAAGAAATAATTATTGACTTCTTTTTACTTGAGAATGTATAATTTACTGCATAAAACTTTTGAAGATAATATTTGATTGGTTATCTAGATGCGTACATATGTTAGAAAAGGTCAATAATGACTAATTGTAGGCAGGAAGACGAGTAAAATAAGTGATGTGAATTTGATGTTGATCATAAATGAAAGTTCAGTAAAAACTGTAATTAACTTTACTGATTTATTCAT